CATGACCTGAGCCGAAGGCAGGCGCTTAACCATCTGAGCCACCCAGGCATCAGAGTGTGAGTTTCCAGCATGGCTCCAGGGCTTGGCCCTTGGGGAGACTGATCTCTGACCTGCAGCTGCTGAGGCAAGGGTGACTCTGCCTTTGCATTCTGGCTTGTGTGGGAGGAGCTGGCTGGGTGTGCATAGCAAATATTACAAGAACTGGTTCCAGGGGTTCTGTTTTTGCAACTATGACCGTGTGGCCACTCCATAGTATGAAGTGCTAGGGAGTAAAGTTCTTTTTTTTTTTTTTAAGATTTGGTTTATTTATTTGGGAGCGAGAACACAAGCGGGGGAGGAGCAGAGAGAGAGAGAAGCAGACTCCCCACTGAGCAGGATGCCCAACGATGCTGAGCTCAATCCCAGGACCCTGAGATCATGACCTGAGCTGAAATCAAGAGTCGGACGCTTAACCGACTGAGCCACCCAGGCGCCCCAGGGAGTAAAATTATTAAACTGCATGAGAAAGAAAAGAAATTGTATTGTGAGGCTATTGGAAAAGGAATATGCCATAATGGAGAGAGGCAGATGTGGATTCAGATTCCCATATTGCTACTTAGGGAGGATATTAACATGGACAACACACTTCACCTGATCAAGCCTCAGCTTACTTATGTTTAAAATGGAGATCATGCTTACCTTATAGAGTAGTATTGAGGATTAAATAAGACGATGCTCATGATTTTTATAGTCCCTTGGTCTTCAGATAGGATAATTGCTCCAGTGCAATAAACAGAAATTTTAGGAATGTGTGGGCACAGGTGGTTTTAAGGCAGTTTCCAGAGCCACCACTTGTATCCATTATCTTTCCTAAAATTGATTTGTGTAAGAACTTGGCTACAGACAAGATCATGAGTTGGGTGTTTTTCCCATCTCTTTCACATCCATTCTAGTCTAACTTTGCCAAAAAAGGGGGGGGCATTCCTCTTGCCCATCCCATGTCTTCTTATGGAGCACGGCCCCATGATGTAAAAGCTTTCCTGGTGTTAAAGAGACAGAAGAAATGTTGGGGCCTTTTGTTGGAGTAAGTCTGCATGGCAAGAGAAAGCTGGGATCCCAGGTACATATCCTCTTACAGTTGAATTTGCTCTTGAATCCACAGGTTCTAGTCTATAGGAATAAGACATTATCAGTACTGGAAGAAGGAGGAGGTCTCAGGCTTAGGAGATCATCATTTCTGGCAGCAGCCTGACCTGAGATATCTGACCATAACTTCCAGGCAGGCCGGGAGCAGACAGAAGACAGAGCATACCCTGCAGTTGCTAGCCCTTTCTTCAGAACAGAAGAACATGACCAAGGCCCGGGTAAGGCTTATTTTACCTATTTTTGTCCTTTGTTTCCCAGTGGATTTGTGGAAGCTTCTAAAACACAGTCTGGGGGTGCCTGGGTGGCTCAGTCTGTTAAGCGTCTGCATTTGGCTCGGGTAATGATCCCAGAGTCCTGGGATCGAGCCCTGCATAAGACTCCTTGCTCAGTGGGGAGCCTGCTTCTCCCTCTGCCTGCTTCTCCCCTTGCTTGTACTCTCTCTCTCTGTCAAGTAAATAAAATCTTTTAAAAAGGTTAAAAAATAAACAGTCTGATAAAATGAAACAGTATATGTTGATAAAAGTCAGGATCTGTGGAAAATAAGTTTAGGCCATAATCTTAAAATCTGGGGAGTTAGGAAGCAAGATACATGGGTCGTAAGATTCATACAAAGCCCTTAAGGATGGAACCGAGGTAAATGTGTAAGATCTTATGGGCTGGCTTAGCTTTGAATTTGTGTCTCATTTCTTGGCAGCTGTAATAACAAGAAAGACATGAAAAGTTACATGATTTGTAGTGTCCGTGAGGAGAAAGCAAACCAGTTCTTCAGGGAAAGTAATTTCATTGCTCTTAGTGCTTAAGAAATTTCTTTTCCTAGCTCTTCACAGAGATTTTGTGGTAGACAGTGTCCTCAATATCAGTCATGTAATAAAGGCATAAGATGTTTCCTTTGGCTTTTTCTCGTTATGTTCGTCAGAGTAAACTAAGGGGATAATGCCAAAGCAGAGCTTGATTGGGCAAAATTCTTCAAAAGCAGTGCACCTGGACAATAGAATCTTCTGGCAGGCCACACTTTACCCCGGAATAAAACCTGAATTATTTAATAGAATGAATGGGCTGCTTGACCTTTGAGTGGTCCTCCATGAAGAAGAATTCTGCCATTTGGCAGAAGACAGCTGAAAGTTCCACTCTTTGATAACAGCTTGGAGTACAGACAGTGGTAATGCTCCCTTTATACCTTTTCAACTGCAGGTTCAGAAATGAAGGCAGAGTCAATTATTCCTGGTCTGGCGTTTGTATTATTAATTACTTAAATGATGCGTGGCTACATTTGCATGTAAAAGATTCAAACAAAAAGAAGTATTTACACCAAAAGAGAATATCCCCTTTCACCTCTTCCTGCCCAACCTCCAACCCAAGAGGTAACAGATGTTAATAGTTTGGGTCTCCAGTCAATCTCTTTGTATAATTGACATGTGGTAGAATATATTTATACACATTTTTATATGCATCAATATGTATACTTATACATATATAATTGTGTATATTATTAAGACTTTTCCATATATCTGGGGATCATACTATATATACAACTTGGGAACTTGATTTTTTTTTTTATTTAAGAGAGTACCTTGAAGATCATTGGCATTAATAGGTTTACATCTACCAAATTGTTTTTTTTTTTAAGATTTTATTTTTAAGTAATCTCTATACATAACGTGGGGCTTGAATTTATGACTGCGAGATCAAGAGTCATGCTCTACCGACTGAGCCAGCCAGGGGCCCCACTACCAAATTGATTTTTTTTTTTTTTTTGAAGATTTT